TTGTTAGAGATTTCTCAAGTTACTTGCAATTTTGAAATATAGTTGGCAAAACAAATTGACATAAAATATTCTGCTAATAAGTTACCAACATCATAAGGAATTTATTAATTTCAAAATTAATCGGTAGGTTACTAACTTTTTTTAAAAATTCTACAAGTGTGGTTAGTAAATTTACTAAGTTTATATTTCAATTTACCAATATCTAAACAACACAGTAAGATGCCGACTTCTTTTAGATTCTATACAATGGTCATTAAACGAGCTACATTTTATTGAATTCACCAAAGTCTAATTAAATTCACAAGTCACTGAATTTTTTTTAAAAATTTGACAAGTATGTTTAGTACATTATCAATATTGAATTTACGAACGTCCATAATTACTAACTTCTTTCAAATTTTACAAAGTATGGTTGGTAAATTACCAAAATTGCAAGGGAATTTAACAAAGTCCAAATTAATAGGTAATTTACTGCTTTTTTTTTTCAAATTTTACAAAGTATGATTATTAAATTACCAACATTGTAATGAATTTACCAAAAGTGCAGGTCTCATTGGAATTCAACATTTAAAGCCTATTTATCTTGGACTATCGGAACTTGACAAGAAAATTTAGGTGGGTCTGGGGCAATCCCAATCCAAACGTATAGATCGGACCGGCCGGTTAAAAAAAAAAGTGGCCTCGAAAAAAGTTGGTCAATCAATTGGCAAGATTTATTCATATTTTTTTAGATTGAAAAAAAAACGAGTAAAATATGAAATTAATAATTTCACAATATATTCCTTATTGTCTATTTTTATATATCTTTAACATTTTACATTATTGAGCCAAAAACACCCTTCTTCTTAGGGTGCGTGCGGAGGTAGATTTCCTGCAGGGAGGCGAGGTTGGCGACGGGGCCGGAGAAGGCGTTCTTCTGAAGGGATAGGGTCATGAGGTGGGAGAGGTCGGCGGGCAGGGTCCTGGCGAGGGACCGGGAGGCGAGGTTGATGGCGGTGACGCGGGAGGAGGAGTCGCAGTTGACTCCATCCCATTTGCAGTAGGAGGTGGCGGAGGACCAGCCGGACGGGGCGGGGGACACGGTGGCCCAGAGCTCGAACATGGCGGAGGTGTCGTCGCCGGACGCCGCAGCCGCGGCGGAGAGGAGGAGGAGGAGGAGGGTTGCCATGTCGCCCATCGTAGAGAGGGAGAGGGAGGAAGACGTGTTGTGGTGCTACGTTGTTGCGTTGTATGGTTGATGATTTGGTTCGGTTGACGGACAGCAAAGAGAGAGAAAGAGAATATGATTTTTAGCGGGATTTTGAGGGAGATAACGGGAATTATCTAATTTGTTGCTTCTAATTTTATAAAAAACAATTTGCCTTAATTAAGGAAAAGCAAAATTAAGCACTAGCTTAAGTAAAGTAATTCCCATATTTTGCGCTTCTGGCGCCTTCTAATTTTATTTCAGACCTTATATTTGTGTGAATTGTTAATTAATTCCTTAAAAGCGATAATATATAACTTGTATAAAAAAGGAGGTGCCAGACACGGATCTGACAAAATAATCCACCGAGAAAACAAAGTTCAAAAAAAGATTTTACGCTTACAAGTTATATCGTACAAAATTTCGAAATCTTTCATAACCTTTTAATGAGAAATTTTTGGATCATTATCTGTTATAGATGTGGATTGGCATAAAGTGTCGGATAAGAATAAAGATAAAATCATGTTAATTGGTGGAAAAAAAAAAGAAAGGTTTGCATTATTGATAGTCTCAAATGACAATTTTATTTATTTATTTATATTTTTTTTCTCTTTTTTTTTTCTCTATTGATAATGTTTTGTTTGAGTAGAATCCAACTTCCGACCTGTTTTGTTTGGACTGTGGAGACTTCTTTTCTAGGGGGTGTGAAGCATAGTCTAAAGAACCTTTGCAATCTGCTGAGCTGGCAAAACGCGGGAAATGAATGGTTAGTGCTTTTGTCCTTTTGTTACATCATACGTACTCGATGTTTTTATTTTACGAAAAATAAATTATTTAAAAAAATATTTTTCAAAAATTGATCATTTAAGACACTGACGGAAAATATTTCTTGATCAACAACGATCTCTGTCTAAATCACGGAGCCATGTATATGTACGTGTAGTCAATTTTTAAGAAAATATTATTTGAGTTGTTGGTTTTTCACGAGATAAATAAAGTTAATTAAGCTTGGTTGACAGAGTTTGATGTGGACAGGTGTCGAAGAGAATCGGGAGTTGTTGAACGTTGATTTGATAAGATTAATGAGTTGTGATGGTGATAATCTTTCTTCGTTTTATTTTGAAAAAATGAGATAAATAATTTATGAACTTTAGCTGAATTTGTAATGTGGTTCTAAACTTTATAATTTATTTAATATAATTTATAAACTTTAGCTTTGAATTTTTAATTTATTTAATATAGTTCATGAATTTTGGATATATGTTCAATACAGTCTTTGGATTATATGAAAATGTTTGATGTTGTCCCTAAATTTAAATTAATTGAAGGAAAAAATCAAATATTTTTATATAATACATGGATTAAGTTGAACGTATACAAAAAATTTAAGGACCACATTAAACAAATTAAAAATTCATGAATGATACTACATGTTGGGCTAAACTTCATGGCCCACATTGATTATTCCTTTTTTTTGTTTTTTGATTGCGGGTATCATATTGCTAAGCATCATCTCTAGGGGTTGTCCAAGGTCAAAAGATTGTTAGCCTTTCATTAAGTCTTTAGATTCGGTCAAAACTCATGAATAGATCGTACCGATAATAGTCATGTGATATCTCGAAATCATTTAAAGAGGTGTCAATGGGTCGGGTCAGGTTGAGTCGGGTCGGGTCAAGTTTCTATGATACCCGACCCGACCTGAATCACAAGGGGCGCATGCTCTCTCTCACCTGGCCCGGCCCAAAACGCATAGAACCCGAAGAGAAAATCCAGGTCGGGCCGAGCCAGGTTTTCGGGTTCGCAGTCGTCCGAAGGCGGGGGAGGAGGAGCAGGAGGAGTTGGGGAGTCGCCAGATGGAGAGGGACAGCGGTGCTAGCGGTGGCGCCTCCCTAACACAAGAAGGTCAGCATGGAGAAGTTGTGGAGTGGTTGGGACTTCACCGGTGTCGTTGCCATGGGAGGCGGAGGAGGGAGGAGGAGAACGAGAAAAGAGCTGCCCAAAAACCTCAGCGGCGACGGCGCGTATGGAAGTATATGATCGATCGCGTGTTGATGAGCGCGTATTTGTGTGATGCGCCCAGTTGCTCTTGCGTTGATCGAGTGGAGGATCGCAATGGTGGATAGAGAGAGAGAGAGAGAGGGGGGGAGGCGACGATGGTGTGGTGAAGAAGAAGGAGGAGGAGGAAGAAGAAGATGAAGAAGAGGAGGATGAGGATGTGCTACGTTTTTACAGAGAGGGGGTGAGCGTGAAAAAGAAAAAAAATGAAAGAGACGAGAGATGATACAATTTAGTATCTATCTAGGGTTTTTTTAAGTCACGGGCCGGCTGTCAAAAGAGCCTAGCTCGAATCGACCTGGCCCAAAACATGGATAATATTCGAAATTTAGAGCTCTTACCCAACCCAGAAGAGGACCGCCCTGAAGAAGCCCTAAATTTTCAGGCTGGACCGGGTCGAGCTGGGCTTTATTGACGGCCCTAATTTAAAGAATCGTAATTTTAGATAGACCTCCAACTTCAGACGCGCAATTGAAGATTGAGGATAGCTCCGCCACTCTCGTATTTCAATATGAGTTGCTCTCACAATACCCTTTCTCTCTCATAGTGGACCCTAGTCGCTCAATTGACAAACCTTCGTAGTTCAATGATTTAGCCAAATTGATTTGATTGTCTTTTCAATTTATCAATTTAAGCGAGGTCTGCCATGGGGTTTGGATTGTGACGATCTTAACTAATCAATTGATTGTCGCATGGCGAGTCCTAATTAGTCAACATTATGTTCCAAACCCCCATTTTAGGCCCTTAATCCTATGTTGCCCCAAGCATGTGCACCAGCTAAGTTCCATGACACTATTTGAACGGCTGAGATTGAATCTCCCTCATTTTTATTTTCCCTTTTATTTTCCTTCTTTTTCCCCATTTTCGGTTTTTCCCGATCTGCCCCTGCCCATGCACGGCCGAAACTGTTCACATTGTAGAGATTTCTTTTCATGCGAGCCACCGTCATCATCGCTGTATCGTTGTCGTTGGCCTAGCACGAGCCTCCGCACGCTTCGCCGGCCATATCCAACCCCGTGGCAGCCCCTCCCCCTCTATCTGAGAGACTCACCGTCTCTATTCGTCTGCTTGATCGAGCACGGCTCCATGGGCCTCGACCACAGTGTTAGCCATAGCCCTCGGGCGAGGCCCCTATTTCTTCATGTACAAACGGGCAGATAAAAAGAGACATTGGTTGATGACGGTGACAGGGAGGGCGACCCACATAGGGAGGCGACGGCAGCGGGGTCTAAGCGACAGCTACGTTCAGGTGATGGCGGCGACGCGACATCGGGGCTGGGGTACCAGCTCTTTGTCAGATTGGTGTATGTTAAGATTTTTCTTTTTTTTGGTGGTTAGGATAAATCTTCTCAAAGCTTAGGGGTGCTTTGGCCAAACGGGGTAACTCTATTAGGCAAAACTATTAATTACTTTTAGAGTATCCTAAATTAGTAAATTGAATCAATATAAGTAGTCAAGGACTCTCTTGTTAAGGTGTTTGATTTAGTCTATATAAAAATCAAACACCTCTCTTGGCTGGGGTATCAGCTCTTTGTGAGGATTGTTATTGTCATTTGGCCTTATTTTATTTGCTATTAGCTTAGCTCGTTACCGATTCAATTGATGCTATGACATCTCTTGGCTGTGGCCTTTTATGCAATGCAATATAATGGAATGATATTTCAGGCCACAATATAGTTGCCAAGTTTTTTTTGCTAATGTGCTTCTTTCATAGGACTGCTCATGAGGTTGGCCAGTGATCATGTAAATCCCCAAAGAGTATACTAAATTTCATCCACGTTAATTTCTTTTGGTAACAAAGGAGGACCAAAGTCCGTCCTTAATGACATCATAATTCTACGTGGTATGTCAAAAAAGCCTTTGGTTCAATTCCAAATTGAACTCTATTCTTCAGCTAGAAGCAATCTCTTCCAAAAAAGCCTTGAGATTCTTGTCCGCAGACCCACCTTCTTTGGCGGCCTCGATTGCCGAATCCTTCAGATTTCTGGCGTTCCCTCTCATTCCCTCGCTCCTCTCGCCACCTCCCATGATCAATTCCAAGCACCTCTCGAGCTCACCTCCTTCCACAACGCCTTGTTCATTCCCCTTGACCCTCACCCCAACCCTCCAGACATCTTCGATGAGCATGGCATTGGTTAGCTGGTCGGCCCACAGCGGGAACGCCACCATCGGTACCCCGCAGAGGAGGCTCTCCAGCGTCGAGTTCCAGCCGCAATGCGTGACGAAGCACCCGATCGAGGGATGCGACAAGACCTCGACTTGGGAGCACCATGGTACTATCATCCCTTGTTTCAATAGCTCCTCTTCACAGCTCAATTGATCCTCAGATTCCTCTTGCTTTTCTTCTCCGGCTTTCCGGATCACCCAAAGGAATGGCCGGCCGGTGCTTAACAACCCGCGTGCCATTTCTTCCTTTTGTGGCTTCGATAGCGTGGAAATACTTCCGAATGATACATAAATCACCGAGGCCTCAGGCTTCGTGTCTAACCACTCGATGTAATCCCTTGAGCCTTGAAAGAGGTCGCCTCCTAGTGATGTGTCGGAAGAGTCTTGTCCCACGAAGGAAGGCAATAGCGGCCCGACGGCCACTAATTCGAGCTCATCAATAGCCTTCAATTGCTCTGATTCTAATGCATCAAAAGTATTCACAAGCACTCTTGGTCTTCTATCCTCCTTGAGCACTTGGATTTGCTTTTCAATTAAAGTATAAAGGAAACCAAATGGACTTCCTGGGGACAAGAAAGAAGGGACGTCGCGGCCCGTGAGCGGCGGCAGACCCGGTAATTGAGTCGGCGATGAAGGACCATTGCTCTCATTTGTGATATTGTCAACGTAGCCATTGGAATAATAGTAATATATCTCGAACAATGTGGCTGGTTGAATCCAAAGTACAACGGATGGGATGTCATAACAATGCGCAACGTCGGCCAACCAAGGTGCGACCGCCGTGTAAAATATGCAGGTGAAGCTCTGGCCCTTATCACGGCTCGCCTCAATGAGTTGTCTAAGGGCTTCCGAACACCTTCGGGCCGTCTCGTCCATATGGTGCTCCAGGCTATTGCTACTCGGTTTCGATCCTTCTTCGACGCCATCAGAGTAGGTGGCGAATGTCAGACGATCAGAGGCTTGGAACCCGCGCATGCGGCGGTGGGCGGACGTCGTGGTGGTGAACGTGACGGAAGCACCAGTTCGGAGGAGACGCCTCGTGAGTTGGAGGGCGGGATTTATGTGGCTTTGGCTGGGAAAAGCCACTACGAGGAAGTTGGGGTTTGCCATAGCTTGTTCAGGGTGAGAAGGTTCAAGTGTCTAACTTCTCGTTGGCTTGGCATGATGCGTTTTTATATGGAGTCTGGATTCGAACTTTGCGGTTGAAATGGTTGGTAGTTCTTCCATAGGCTGGATCCATCGTACGTTCTTTTCCTAAGATAGCACAAGTTGTTGCTCACGCTTCTATTTTCTAGTTTATTAGTCATTTTTCTAGATGGTGAGAGTTTCTAGAAGAACTTTTTCATCAGATGAAATCCTACAAAAATAAATTTGTCCAGCTTGTTTACTGAAACAAGTTCTTGTTAACTTGCTATTCACAGTTTTCTTTTTATTTATTTATATATATGCCTATATTATAGTGAACTTGAAATAACAAGAGTTGAATAATGGTTCATAATTCGAAAAAGTTTCTTGATAAAATATCAAACTTACAACACTACTAGATTCGCCACTATGCTACCGATAATAAGTGGAAAAAAAAATATTCTCAGACTCCATTTGTTTCGCGAGAAATGACCGATTTGGAACATGTTTTCCTAAAAAGATCGCTTCTTTTGCTTATAAAAATAAATGAAATTATTATACTTTCATCACCTGTAAAAATGTTTAGACATAAACTTTTGTTAATAATGAAAATTTATTTCATTGACTAATTATTTCAAATGATATAAGCAATCATTTTTAGGAAAATATTTTTCAAATCATTCATTTTCTGCAAAACAAACTGAGCCTACGGCTCTGTTTGTTCACGGAAAACAATTTTCAGGAAAACGTTTTTCAGAATTTTGGCGTTTGGTTCACGAAAAATAAACCAATCAAGAAAACATTTTCCGCCAATGAAAAAACACCTTCAAAAGTGGGAAAAATGTTTTCCGTTTTTCAGAAAGCGAAAAACATTTTCCATGGTCTTTGTTTCTCCTCTAGACCAAGCACTTTCTTTCACCAAACACCTCTTCCTTTTATTTTTATTTTTATTTTCTTTTTTTTTAAATCATGTTTTTAATTATTTTTAATTTTTATTTTCAAATTATTTTTAATTTTCTTTTCTTTCCTTGACGACGGCTGATGATAGGCCAAGGAAGAAGCATAAAAGAAAAAGAAAGAAAAGGAAAAAATAATTAAAGAATTCGAATTTTTTTGGTAATTTTCCTTGGAAAATTAAATCAGATACCAAATGGTGAAAAATATTTTCTTGTTCATTTTCAAGTTTTGGTCAACCACCGAAAAATATTGTCATCTTCCTGGAAAATTGCTTGGAAAATATTTTTCAGAAATATAACATTTTTTGTGAAACAAACGAAGCCTAAAATTATAAAATTTCTGTGATGTATGGAACTACGAGAGTTCATGTTCCTGAAATTAGGCACCTAAATCATGATGGAAACTTTTCATATACCATACAGAATTAGGCATCCAAATATATTTAACCGCAAGCACTATCTCGTACTTATGTACCTACATACTCGACTTTTATTATTATCCAGATTTTCTCATTGCATATATGTAACATTTAGGAGCTTGATGATCAAGTCTAGTGACCAATATGCTTCCTTTTGGATCTCTTCCAAGAATGCCTTGAGGTTCCTATCCGATGACCCCCCTTCTTCGGCAACTTCTCATGCCAAACCCTTCCACTTCTTGGCATTCCTCGTAATTTCCTCTCCCTCCTCTCCATCTCCCACCCCTAATTCCAAGCACCTCTTGATCTCATCTCCTTCCATGGGACTACCATTCCCTCTCCTTCCTCTTCTTTGTCCCTGCGGAGCAACCACGAGAATGGCTGGCCAGCGCCAAGCGCCCCTTGTGCCATCTCTTCCATTTGTAGGCTCGATAGCATGGAGATGCTCCCAAATGACGCGAAATCAAGGAGACCTCCGGCTTGGTGTGTGGCTATCAGTTGTAGTCTCGCGAGCCCCAGAAGAGACCGCCTTCGAAGGATTTGACCGAGGCCTTGCCCTTCCAAGAACGCGGAAAGTATTAGCGGGCCGATTACGAACATGGTAAGCTTATGACCTATGGCTTTCAAGGACCCAGGGTCTAGTTCATTGAATGGGTTCACGAGCACTTTCGGATTCTTCTCTTCTTTGATGATACTAGTTTATCGAAGGGATTAGCAAGCCGATCCCGGCAAAAGAATCGTTATTGATGGTTTATTGATGGTTGAGGGAATGTGCAGAGAATGGGCCACATAAGCTGTTGGTTGTTTGTTTGTAAAACAAACAAAATAGTGCATTTTCCTTTGTCCCACATAGGAAAGTTTTGAGAAAGTGGGCCACTTTATAACTGTGAATATCTTCTTGCTCTTTAGAGTGAAGACAATGGGGTGTGTGCTAGTCCACACAATACCCGCGTGCGGGTGCGCGATTTTGGCGCGATTATTAGGCGCACTTAGCACTTAGCACTTAGCACTTAGCACTTAGCGCGGCCGCGGTTTAATTAGCTCTAATCCCTTTATTTTTTTATTTTATTTCGTAAGGTTATCTCCTTAATCTTTATTAGTTGAAAGGTTGTTTTTTGTTTATTAAATAATTTTCGAAATTATGAAAATTCGGAATTTTTATTTATTTATTTTATTCCGAATTTTACATGTGTCTTTCCAAGACAACTTTTGAAAATTATACTTGTTCAGTTTTTAATCCTTTCCGAAGGGTTGCATCTATTCAGTTTGCAACTTCTTCCGAAGGAATATTTTTGTTAGCTTTGCAACCTTTCGTGAAGAGTTGCCAATGTTCTTTAAGACCGATTTCTATATATGTAAGTTTTTGGCAAGAAAGAAAAAAACGAGATCAATTTCTTCAAGTCTTCTTTCGAAAACTACAGTCATCATTTCTTTGTTTCGTAGAGAGACCCTGGAGAAATACTAGAATTGCTATCTAGTATTCTCATTTTGAGACTTTGTTGTATCCTGGAGGATTTTTGCCGGTGACCATTAGCAACAATTGTGGGGCAAATAAATCCTTAAGGAAAGTGATATCACGCCTCAAAGTCCGACTTGATTGCTCTTTGATTCGAAGCCATTCATATTTTACAACATAAGCCACCAAAGAACGACCATCATATAAATCGCGCACGCAAACTCGCAGCCTTCATCGCGACTAGCAACGATGAGGTCTATCAGGGTTTCTGAACCTCGCTTTATTTTGAGCATGTAGCATTCGAAGTCGACGGCTGGATTGAGCCCATCTCAGAGCTGCGGGGAAGGTTGCATAAACCTTCAGGAGGCTCGACGGACTTAATCATGCGGGGGCAAAGCCGACATGGCGTGGTAAAGGCGACATGCGCACAGTCACATGGAAGACTCCTAGCAAATTGGAGAGCCTTGTTTATGTGGCCCTAATTCGGAAAAACTTCAATTGGAAAGTTGAGAGGATCCGTATAGGGCATGTTTCGTTCGACTTTGGGGGAATGCAAGTACTTTTGGGCTAAATGGGTTTTTCGAAATGCAAGTAGTTTTTGATAAGTATTTTTTAAAATCAACTTGGGCTAAAGGACTTTTGCTAATATTTTTTTAAGAAAAAAAGGGCTTCGGTGGAGCTTAACCACCAGCCACCGCCACTGGCCATATCTGGTCGCCGGCCACCGCCGCCCAGGGTCGCGTGACCCTTAGACGATCACTGCCTGGGGTCCCTCGACCTCAGGTGTCGCCTGGATCACGCGACCTAGGCAACGCTTGGCCTGGGTTGCGTGACCCGAGCAACGCTTGAGGTCCATCAACCCCAGGTGGCCTGGGTCGCACGACCCAGGCGACGCCCGAGGTCCGGCGACCCTAGGCAGCTGTCGCCGGGGTCGGGCTAACCCTCAGGCGGCGGTCGCCGTCCGCTAGACCTGCCTCTAGGGAAGATGAACAGTCGCAATGAACAGTGCAAGTTGCATTCCGAAAATGCAACTTCTCAATGCACCTCCACCCTTGCATTGGTCAAAAGTCCCTTGGAGAACATTCCAAATGCAATTGCATCTCCTCAAGGTGAGTAAAAAAAGTTGCCAAATATCATTTGCATTTGGCCAAGGGACTTTAGAGCCCAAATGAGCATTCCAAATGCTGAACCAAACGGGGCCCATAGTAGTTTGGTCTACAGAATTACTAATGATGAATAGATGCAATGCTTCTTTCTCTAAAGTATTAAAATTATTTTGATTTTACATGCTTTAGAGACTGTTCCGTGGTTGATGAAGTTGGGTTTCGTTCTTAGAACTGTAAGAACAACAAGCAAAAACAATAACCATTTATTTTCTGCGTCATCGACTTGGAAAAGTCAATGACGTCTCTGTAACCCTTCCGTTCTCTCCCTCACTTTTTTCTCTTCGTGTCTTTTTCAACCTTCAACCATGGGAAGACCTCCCTCTCTTGTTGATTTTATTTGTGTTTTTATATTGTTCTGCTCTTGTTTTTCCATTTCTCCGGATCTACATGTGAGAGTTGAACTCTCTCGTTCTAGTTCTACAATTGTGAGCTATTCTCTCCCGATCTAAATCTAGGAGTATAATAAATATATATTTGGGGGATTTGATGCCCTTGTGCTGTGTCCATATGCAAGTCATCTATCTTCAGCTTCAATGGTGATTGCAAGAACTCTAGTGTCTTGCTGAATCACGAAGAATTACTCCCCCAAATGTTAGATTTGTGTTCGTTCAACCTGTTTTAGTTGTTGCACGGCAATGCCGTAGTTACTGGAGGATAAATTTTCGACGTGTGTTCATCATTGTTATATTTCGTCGATCCGCCCATGATGTGTGTGTCCAAGGGACACCATTTGCTCTAATAAGAAGTGCGTCTGAGAGACACCTTTTGAAGAGGTGCGATGAGATTTTCTTAAGGGAAGTTAAGGTAACTTCATCAGAATTAGAATATCGAACAACAGATAAGTAAATTTTGAAGAATCAGAACTCTCTCTCTCTCTCTCTCTCTCTCTCTCTCTCTCTCTCTCTCTCTCTCTCTCTCTCTCTCTCTCTCGACGCATAAGGATTCCGTATCTACTTTGAGAAAACAATCGGCATTAACACTGTGGAATGATAATACTTTCCTTGTGATTGTATTCGGACCAACGTGAAATAGATTCATTCATCGTTTGCTGGTGATTCAACGTACGTTCCTGGAAAATTGGTTTGGAGTGCATCGAACAAGTTAGTCGATTCTCCTGACACTTGCTTCCAACAT